CTAGTTGGCGTGAAGGGTTTGGCCTCTCAATTGTGGCTTTTGGCTCTGGTCTTCATTGGCCTCCCTGCAGTGAGTCCTGACTCTTCTCTGTCTGTGTCCTGAGCAGATGTCAGTGTCTCCAAAGTTCAGCCCAGTCTCAGCTCCTCCCTTACCTCCTGGGATTCCCTGTGTGGTTCATGTGTGGTATCCGGATTTCTCATATTTTTGTCAACTCAGTGGTGTGTTTGAAGTTGTGTCTAAAAAATACCATGTTATTCAGAGTGARTGTTTTCTGTGGACACTGGTTTGAGGTGTGTGATCTGCCCTGTGGCTGGCTCTCACCCATTGACGAGGCCTTCTCACCCTCTTGGTAATCATCCTTCGTCATTTTACTGGAGTCCTGCAGCATTTGGCAGAGGCACTCCTTGGAATCCCTCTCATCTCAACCTTCATTGTGTGGTCCTCAGGGTTTTCTTCCCGTTTTACTGGAGGTCGTCTTCCTCCATCCATTCTCTGAGTGTGGGAATGATCCGGGGCTGGGTGCTGGGTATCCTCCTCGACGGTCTCTCCCAGGTGGTGTTGTGCAGTGTCAGGGCTCAGACACCGTCTGCAGACACATCTGTAGACAGTCTGTCCCAGGTGATGTCGTGCAGTGTCAGGGCTGAGACACAGTCTGTCCCAGGTGGTGTCGTGCAATCTCAGGGCTCAGACACAGTCTGTAGACACAGTCTGCAGACAGTCTCTCCCAGGTGGTGTCGTGCAGTGTCAGGGCTCAGACACAGTCTGTAGACACAGTCTGCAGACAGTCTCTCCCAGGTGGTGTCGTGCAGTGTCAGGGCTCAGACGCAGTCTGCAGACCTGTCATCCCACATCTGTGTCATCATCTCTTAGGGCTGTCCTGAATGCTGTTCTTACATGTACTGTTTATCATTAGAAGTTGTGCTCACCTATCTAAGACACTTACACTGCACAGGTCCAGCACGGAGCTTTCATTTCCATGCTTCCTGTCTGTTCCGTCCTAGTGTTTGCTCTCTCAGCAGACTAAACACTCTCTCAGTTGCTTTAAAAGGAAACCTAAGAGCCCTGCTCGACTTCTGCCTTTCCTTCATTCTGTATTTAATTTCTGAGAGAGTCGGGTTGTTCTCTGTCTAAAACAAGGGTCAGCAAACCTTTGTAGAGGACCAGCTGGTGTTCTCAGCTTAGTGTGCCATGTGGTGTGCACTGTCACTCTGCCGTTGATCAGAAAAGCAGCCGTAGATGATGTGAAAGTGATCGTGTTGAGGTTGGGCTCGGTGCTGGCTCAGTTGGCCTGTGGTCGTAGTGACTTCTGACCCACTCTTGCTCACATCCATCCATTTCCCTCCATCGCTACTGCTCACCTGCATTTCTTGACTAGACTGTCAGAGGTCTTCTCTCCTTCCTGTCTTCTTCCCATTTGTTCTTTACCAACACTTAGGGTCGTCTTAAAAGTAGAACTCAGAAGCTTTACCTGATCTCCTAGTGCTGTGTTCCTTGCCTGACCGCAGCACCTGCTCTGACTTGGGAGTTGCCTCACTCTCATCCTCCTGTTCTGTGCCTTCCTGACCAGTCCAGTCACACTGGTCTCCTTGGTGGTCTGAGTCTGTGCTGCACCCCAGGTGAGTTTGAATACCCAGTCTTCTGTTCTCCTGTTCCTCTCTGACTCAGGCCAGCATCTTCTCTTCCTAGAGTACTGCAGTGCTTTCTTCCTGGTTATTCCTGTCCACGGTCCTGTCTCCTTTAGATTATCTTCTGTGTTCCCAGACTGCAGTGCAAATCTGTTATTTCTKTGTTTAAATCATTTTAGAAGCTTCCTCTTCTTCCAGGATGTGTAAGATCCATGTGGTCTGAGCACACCTTCCTCCCTCTTTTAGTTAAGTTTTTTATTTCTATGTCCAGAAGATGTGACAAGAATAACGGAGAGGAGGAAAAGTTCATTTGGTCAGTGTCAGAGTTTCTGTCCACAGTTGGCCAGCCTTGCAGCTCTGAGCCTGAGGTGAGGCAGGACACCAGGTGGAAGGGCATGGAAGGGGGAAGAGTCAGGCTGTGGCCAAGGAAGCAGAGAGAGCTCCACTCGCCAGGGACCCAGAGGCACCCCCAGTGACCCAGCCTGCCCACAGTCACCACCCAGTTAATTCATGTCAGTGTATGTATTAATCCACTGACGAGACTAGGTTACAGCTCTCACCCCGAACATTCCTGCTTGTCTTGCACAGGAGCTTTTTGGGGACATCTCATATCTACCACAGCACTCCCCCTGTTCACCTCTAACAGCTTTTCACTTGTCTTCCCTGGCCAGGCCAGTTTATCATCCCTAACATCTGGCCCAGGCGCCATCTTGTTCAGGCCGCCGCTCATGGGTTCCGAGCCAAACTGTGTGGTTCTGTATTCCCGGGTTCTTTCCTTAAAGCTTTACCACTTCATAGTGGGTGTCCTTGTGGTGCTTTAACTGGATCAGAGCCTTTGAAGAGGAGGGGAATGTGTTATATTAGTTTTCTAGCTCTCATGCCTCACATGAACTGAGTTTACTGTTCATGGAAGAGAACTTTTAAGCTTTCCCAAGGTCGCAGAGCCAAGTTAATGGTGGGTGTGATTCAATTTTTATGTGGCAATGACCTGGGTTCCCTTGGGAGGTAGTAAATTCCTGGCCTGATAATTTCTGCCTGAAACTCTGAGGCTTTTAAGAATATATAGAGGAGTGTCTACTGCCAGAATTTTTTATTTTTATGTTTTTAAAAGCCTTGGGGAACATAGCCATGGTGATTCCTTTTTTTTTTTTTTTAATTTATTCTTAAGTTTTAGGTGGACACAATATCTTTATTTTACATTTATGTGGTGCTGAGGATGGAACCCAGTGCCCTGTGCATGCTAGGCGAGCGCTCCACCACTGAGCCACAACCCCAGCCCCACGGTGATTCCTACATTTTTGTGTAGCAGCTTTAGTGTTAAAAGAGTSGCACAGCTGCTGGCTTGGATGGAGCGTGCACATCCTGAAGTCCAGAAGTGTTTCTGTTGGACCTTTACAGAAAGTGTTCACTGACCTGTGGTTTAGGATAAGATGAGGGATGGATGAGGAGATCCCCGGTGTCTTGCTTGTGTCTAAGATTCTGAAATCCACTGGACAGGAGAGAGAGAGGAACGTGGGGTTATGGGCAGTACTGATCTTCATCACCCCAGGATAATTGCAGCGGGACAGCGTGCATGTGGGTCTGTGTGTTCCAACGGTGGCTAGGAAGCACTGGACCAGAGCTGGCAGAATGATGAGTTGTTAGCAAGTGTGTCGCAGTTGCCACTCTTGTCTGCGTTCTTGAGAGTTTGTGCATGAACTGGGAGATGAGGTGGCCTTCACCTGAAGAAGTTTTTCTGTTGAAGTTGGGGAGAGGTGAGTTGAAGATGTCTTTTCCCCCTGTGGGTGCTGGAGCTGGAACTCAGGGAGCTTAAGTTATAGGCACTGGACCACTGAACTGCTCGTGTTATAGGTGGGCACTCCACCACTGAGCTGCTTGTGTTATAGGCGGGCACTGTACCACTGAGCTGCTCAAGTTATAGGCAGGCACTGGACCACTGAGCTGCTCGGGTTATAGGCGGGCACTCCACCACTGAGCTGCTCGTGTTATAGGCGGGTACTGGACCACTGAGCTGCTCATGTTATAGGCAGGCACTAGACCACTGAGCTGCTTATGTTATAGGCGGGCACTCGACCCAGTTCCTGACCCTCCCCTCAGGTACAGCTCCTAGCCCAGTGCTGCTCTGCCAGAGCACAGGATCTGAGGAACGTGGTTCCTTGTCGTACAGGCACCATAGAACACGTAAATTAAGAAGGCTGTGACCTCAGTAAGAGTGATGATCTCCTGGGACACCATTGTGTATGGTCTGCTATTGGCTATCATTTTGTGGTGCCTGGCTGTGTTTTGTCACATGGAAGAAAGGCAAAGATGACTGCCTGTTCCTTTATTGACAACACAGAAGGCAGACCAGTGAGCCGGCCACATGCTGCTTCTGCAGTGTCAGGCTTGGTTTTAAGTGGGAGGCATTGAGGGTGCCCATGGCAGCATCACCTGGGACTGAATGCGGAGCCGCTTGGTGGAAGAGCTGTTTTGTGCCACGTGACTGTGGTGTCTCTGCTGTTGTCTGGAGCATTCTGACCAGCACACAAAGGTTGGCAGCCTAGTTTCTTCCAGCTTTAAAATGGTCCTTGAGTTATAGAGTACCTGCTGTTTACTTCATCTCCTAGCACCTGTTCATCCTGCATTCTGCCTTCACATCACCCTGGAGAAAGGGGTGAGACTGTGCCTGTGCTTGCCCCTCACCAGCCTCTTCAGCCTCCCTCTCCTCACTGGTAGGAGGCCTGAGTGGGTGTGAATTCCATGCATCTGTTCAGAGCATGTGGAGAGCACTGTGTTCTGGGCGCACAGTAGGTGCTCAGCGTGTTTCTTTTTTCTTTTTGGAGCTGCTGGGGATTCGAATCCTACCAACAAAGGTTTCCTTGTAGTGGTGCCACGTTCCCTCCACTTCCTTTGGCTTGCATTGGTGGTGCCGGGGATGGAATCCGGGGCTTATGTGTTGCTGGCCAGCTCCCCAGCACCAGCCAGCCCACGTCTAGCTGCCATCTCACCCGCTGCTGCTCACCCTGGTCGTGTGGGAGGGCAGGTGGGCCATCAGTTGTTCTTGTGTGGTGTCCTTTACAGGACTCCGTCTGATGTCAAAGACAGGATTTTTAAAAAAAATAATAATTTAAAGATGGTGGTATTATCATTGGAGGGAGTGTGAGAGAAATTGCCTGTTATTTTGAACATTGTATCCCTCACCTCTTTTTTTAAAAAAATATTTACTTTTTAGTTGTAGTTGGACACATTACCTTCATTTTATTTATTTATATGTGGTGCTGAGGATCGAACCCAGGGCCTCCCATGTGCCAGGCAAGTGCTCTGCCGTTGAGCCCCAGCCCCAGCCCCCCTTACCTCTTTTTAAACAAAGTATTTCTCTCTGCCTTTCTCTTCCAGGAGGAAGAGCCTTGTGAGAGCAGCAGTGAGGAAGAGTTTGGTGCTGGCGAACATCAGGGCCCGAATTCTGTTGTTGATGTTGAGGATCTTGGAAAAGTGATGGATCTTGTGAAGAAAGAAAAGGTATTGTTCTTTTGGGAAGTGCTCACTGATCCTGCTGGCGGCTGATCTCCAGTGTTCTGTTTTTCACTGTGGTCCGTCAGAGCTCACAGTGAGAGTCTCCGTTCTCTGGTTTCTGTCTTGATAGTTTGACAATTTTTTTTTTTTTTGCCGCATGCAGGAGTTTTGTGGAACTTGTTTCTTCCCGGCCCTGTAAAAATAGACTCCTAGGAGGATAAGCGGGGGGTGGGAGGAGGACAGAGGAGAAGGTGCACGGTGGATTGGGTGGGCCTCGCTGTCTGAGGGTTTGTGTGGACTCTGCTCAAGTCTGCTATGTTCTATACAGGCCAAGAGGTGCGGGGCTCTCGTCTGGCAGCCTGGGTTGCAGCCTTGAGATCAGCATGGGGGGCTCTAGGAAGAAGGAAAGTGCTGGAATGGGCTGGGAGTGCTTAGGGGTAGGTGAGAGTATGTAACCTATTAGGGTTTATGTGGATTCTAGTCATCTGCAATTTAAATAATACATACAAACCTAAAGACTAGTGTAAGTTTTGAAAAATGAGAGTTCCGTAAACTGAAAATACATCAGATCTGTAAGCCTTGGAACAAAGAAGATGTAAAGGTTTTAAAATCTGAGAAAACCAGGGAAAAACCTATACAAAATCAAGTGACAGTTCAGTAAGGCAGCAGGATGTAACGTGAAAGAGTTAATAAGCTTTGTATTTCTAGGTTATAGCCCGTGAGAACCTGTTGTGAAAGAAATGCTGCATATAAAATAGCCACATAAAAATATAATCACCTAGGACTTGATTTAGAAAGAAACACCCTAAGCCTATATTTTAAAGCTTAATATATTCATGAAAGTATCAAAGTGRACTTGATGAAGAGAAAGACATACCTTGTTTTAGGTAGGATAAAGATGTCGTTTCTTTTAAATTACACATAAATTCAGTGCACCAACAAACATGCAAGAATTGTTAGGAAAACCTTGGCAGAAGTAGTAAYAGGAAGGACTGACCTTACCAGAAATGAAAAGGCAATTCTCAGAAGTTCTGCCAGCAGATTCGAAGGTAGGAAAAGATGCTCAAGTGCACCCATGGCAAGGGAAGGGCAGGTGAAAACCACACTGGCCTGTGTTTATCATCTACCAAGTAGCACAGTCCCAGAGTGGGACAGCGCCCCCACCTGTCCAGTACTTGTACCTTGCAGGCGCGAGTCCAGAATGGCTAGGGCGTTGCTTCAGAGTCACAGGGACACCAACCCAGGATCTGTTGGTTCAGGCTTGTGCTTTGCTGTGAAGACGCAGTGTCACCAGTACAGACCACATCTGACCAGGTGGTGCAGTGCAGCCTGTTGGCAAATAGCCTATCAGGCACTGTTCCAAACAAACCACTCTGCCCACCCCTGGGACACTGCTGAGCATCTCAGGAGGTAGTGGGATGGGTCCATGTGAATCAGTGTGATTTCCAGGCCATGTGGGGTTTGCAGTGGAGGCTGAGATGGACTTGGGATTTTAACAACAGCTGTTTATTGTATATCTGCAAACATGGTTTGAACGTGTTCAGGTGGGTGCATGTGTACGTGTGCATGTAAATAGTATTTTCTAGCTGTGTTCTCGGAAAAGATTTTTATGTTCACAATCAACTCTTGCAGCTCAGTTCAGCTTAGTTTGTGTAGACAAACTACCTGGGTTGATGTTACACGCCTGTGCTTAGGGCAGGGTCCTGCCTAGACTGTCCCCACTTCAGGGCGCAGTAGATGAACCCTGAAACAGCTCGTTGAACAACTAATCACCAAACACTGGTGGACACTGCCAGAGGGATATGGGAAACAACTTGAGGGTTCCCCTTAGGCCAAGTTTGCGAAATTTGAGATTCAAAAAGATCAATGAACTAAGGGTTGTGTTACATCCAGTCTAAAATATCAATCCTTGTGCGACTCACAGGAGAGGTGTGGAGGTTTCTAGATGATACAGAATGCATGATGGAGTCGAAAAATTACCTGTTTTCAGTCTCCAGTAAATAATTGATTTAAGCAAGGATTTGGGCAAAAGGTCTTTGCAGAACAGATATAAACATATATTTCTTTTTTTTTTTTAAGCAAGTTTTTTTTACACAATACCTTTGTTTGTTTATTTTTATGTGGTGTTGAGGATGGAACCCAGGGCCTCGTGCATGCTGGGCGAGTGCTCTACCGCCGAGCCACAACCCTAGACCCATAAACATATATTTCCAAATGTCATCCCAAAGAGTAATCTCCTGGAAATGATAGAAGTAACTGGATGAGTAGAATCCCTCTCAGATTATTTTCTAATTAGAAAGGGAAAGTGTACCTTATTAATGGACAGATCAGGTGATTCCCACATATATCCAGCAATCAAATTTATCCTCCTCCTTAATGGTACAGTCTGACCTATGTCCTGTTGTGGTTTAGATGTGAGCTGTCTCCCTAGGGTTCTTGCAGGACTGCCGGAGTGGCTTGCCAGACTCTAACCAGTCTGTTCATCCTACCTTGCAATGACTGGGTGGTAACTAGGCAGGTGGGGCATGGCTAGAGGAAGTGGGTCACTGGCGCTGTCCTTTACTGAGCCCAGTGAGCCCCATGGTGTTCCCCTTACTTTCCTGTGCGTCCCTGCTTTAGGGGTACTTACTTTTTCATATTTCAGGTGAGAAAGTTGACTTTCAGAGTCARCAAGCAGCTTGCCAGACTCAGGCAGAGTGTGTCAGGTGCCCTGGTGGCTTGTGTGATGGGAGCGCATATTTCTAGAGCCAGGACCTGGTGTGTGGATGCTCCTCTGACTGGATGTGGCCCCCTGGTGGCGCAGGTCCAGCCAGGCTGAGGAGGCCTTCTGCTGACTGAGCCCTCCTGGTCTGTGATGGTCTGTCCACTGCATATTGCTAAGTCTGGATTTCATTCTTTTTACTTTCAACAGAGAGAAGAGGAGCAGCAGGAAGAGAAAGGTCTGTTCGGGAGCAGAGGGAAGAAGGAAGGCGGTGAAGGGAGAGCCATGCTCACGCCTGCTCTCCGGGAGGCCCTTACCAAGCAAGGTGGAACCCTGGGGCTGTCACAGGCTATGCTCAGGCACCCAGCTTGATGCCCAGGGGAGGGGGCACAAAGCAGGGCTCACCAAGAGGGAGGACACAGCCTCCTTCTGGTCAGCTCAGCAGCTGGTCGTGAGGAGCTGCCGGGGCAGCCCTTGTTTCTAGGTCTCACTATTGTGCTGGTGGTGGGGAGTGGCACTTCTCTGGGCAGCGTTCGCGCTGTCAGTGGCTCACGTGTGCACATGGACTTCCTCACCAGCCACTGGTGTTAAGGGAGGGTCATGTGGTATGGCATTGAGCTAGTGAGAAGTGTTTTTGGTAGAAGGGTCATAGCTAGGGTTTTGCGTTCATACCTTGTTGACTTATAACCATGGTTTCTTGTAGAAGAAGAGTAATGAATTGGGAGTCTAGAGATTGACCTTCCTCCCTGTCCTTTGCACCCCTCATATCTATGAAGGGCCTTTGATGTGGCAGTTCTGGTAACGCAGAGAAACAGGAGACAGCATCTCCTTCAGGGGATCATCAGTCTGGGAGAGGGTGCAGGCCAATATTTATATGATTTAAATAATTTTATTGCACTAGACTATTTCCACTTAGGCATTTTGTGGTAGATTATGACTGCTTTCCTGTTCTTGAACTTCCTTTTTCTGTTTTCCAATTTTTTTTAGATTGTTTCCTTGTGACCTGTGTGTCTCGTGCCTGTTGGCTTCTCAGCTTTAGCACTTTGTCATTTGGTGGTTGCTCAAGGTTGGACACTACACCTCTTTATCACATTGGTGTGTCCTTGACGGTAAAGGTTGAGCACCATAATCTGAAAGTTTGAAATGCAAAGTCTGAAACTTTTTTTTTTAATAATTTCTTTTTTAAGAGAGAGAGAGAGAGAGAGAGAGAGAATTTTTTAATATTTATTTTTTAGTTATCAGCGGATACAACATCTTTGTTTGTATGTGGTGCTGAGGATCGAACCTGGGCCGCACGCATGCCAGGCGAGCACGCTACCACTTGAGCCACATCCCCAGCCCAAGTCTGAAACTTTTTGAGCCACCTGTGTGGTGCCACAAATAGGAAACCACACCTGATCAGTGATGGGTCTCCATCCAAAGGCAGGGGCACTTACAGTGCTGTGTAGATTACCCTCAGGCTGTGTGTGCAAGGTGTTTACTAAACATGCACGAGTTTCATTGTTACACTTGGATCTCATCCCTGATGTATCAATGTACATGAAGATATTCCAAAATCTAAAAAAATATGAAATCCAGAACATTTCTGGTCCACGTATTGTGGTTAAAGACTATTTCGCTGTGTCACCCATTTGGTGTGGGGGGTGCCCTTACCACAGTGAGCTCTGTCTCCCTTCCGGACCTCTGTGCAGTGGTCATTGTGCTCTCCATTTCACACGACATCGTATTGGTTTAAGGGGTTGCTTATCTATTAAGGATTTACATAATTTGAAAGGCTCTTGAGTTGGGAGTGTGGCTCAGTGGCAGAGCATTTGCTCATTGCGTGTGAGGCCTTGGGCTTGATCCCCAGTATCACCCATCAAGAAAAATAAAGAGAGGCTGGGGTGTGGCTCAGGATTAGAGTGCTTGCGTAGCATGTGTGAGGCACTGGGTTCGATTCTCAGCACTACATATAAATAAATAAAGGTCCACTAACACCTAACAGTATTTGAAAAAGAAAAAAGAGAGAAAAAAAGACTGAATTAAATATTCTGAAAAAAGAATTTTTAAATTTTACTCATATAGATACCATACTCTTTAGGTCTGTGATCTGTCTGACATCTTTTCCATTCTTCCTGAAGAAATTCTTTTCTTTTTTAATGATGGAGGATCACTCCCGGGCTTCATGCATGCTAAGTGTGTGCTCTGTCCCGGGCTGCACCCCAACCCAGAGAGAGGGTATCTTAAATCTGCTGCCTGTTTTCTTGATTTCCTTCTTTTCCGTTAGTGCTGGGGATTGTACCCGCCTCACTCAGGCTGGCTCCTGAGAGCAACCGTGCTTGTCTCTGGAGTCACTGACTTTTGTTGCCTAATGTTTCATATCCTAAAAACTGTGGTTCTCATATTTTGCCCACTTTTTGGTGTTTCCAGTGGAATAGTAAATCCTCTGTTGTTCTGTCCTGGCTGGGACCAGAATTCTGTACTTTTGAGTTTTAGCATCTATGTACAGTTGGCTCATCTTGGCATTGTGGTTTATGAGATTTCTTTGTCCTGTAATTTGCACATTTTTAAACCTAAAAGTAGAATTGTATAGAATATTGTGTATCTCGGGAATGAGAGAGTTAAATAACTAATAAATTAGAGCATGATTTTTATGCTAGTAGCATTAACAACATAGTGTAGGAATTGAAGAGTAGACCTAAAGTTTTCCTTGGTAGTCTTTTAAATGCTAATTCTGCACCAGAGATTACTTATTYGGTTGGACTTAGTTCCAGTCCTCAAGTCAACAGCAGTGCTTGGCTTATGTGCAAGATTTATGATCAAGCCCTGTGAACATGGCCCCTAGAGACTGTGGGTGCCACGAGTAACCAGCCCTGATGGCTTCTGCTTCACCCAGACACTCTCCCTCCATTGGCCTTATTTGTCTGCAAGTCTCTCTGTGCCAGAGATTCAGGGTGACTGTGGCTTGCTCTCAAAGCGTCTGAGAAACTGCTGAATGAATTCTGAAATCAGAGGGTTCTGCTGTTAGCCCYTCTAGCTGTTTAAAAAGGAAAGACATCCATGCTTTCCATGTCTTATGTGGCTCAGCAGTTCTATACCTTTTTTGGGGGGGAGCTGGGGATTGAACCCAGGGGTGCTCTAACACTGAGCCATATCCTCAGCCCTATTTTTTTGTAACTGCTTTTATTTTTTAAATACATGACAGTGGAATGCATCACAATTCTTATTACACATATAGAATACAGTTTTTCATATCTCTGTTTGTGTATAAAGTATGTTCACACCAATTCATGTCTTCATATATGTACTTTACATAACAAAGTCTATCACATTCCTCCATCATTGCTACCCCCCTGCTCCCTCCCTTCCCCTCCCACCCCTCTGCCCTATCTAGAATTTGCCAATTCCTCCCGTGCTCCCGCTCCCTACCCCACTATGGGTCAGTCACCTTATATTGGAGAAAACATTTGCCATTTGTTTCTGTGGGATTGGCTAACTTCACTTAGCATTTCTTCTCCAACACCATCCATTTACCTGCAGATGTCATGATTTTGTTCTCTTTTATTGCTGAGTAATATTTCATTGTATATGTATGCCACGTTTTTAATCTATTCATCTACTGAAGGCCCAGTCCTATTTTGCATTTTATTTAGAGACAGGGTCTCACTGAGTTGCTTAGGGCGTTGCTAAGTTGCTGAGGCTGGCTTTGAACTCGGTATCCTCCTGCCTCAGCCTCTCAAGCTGCTGTTATTACAGGCGTGCACTGCTGCGCCTGGCTGGCTCAGCAGTTTTAAATGTAAGTTTTCGGAGGTACTGAGAATGCACACTTGGTTGCAGTTCCTAGAATTTGGGGCAGTGTTTCTTTGTTTCAATCTCCATTGACAATCTGGTTCTTCATTTTTTCCTCAGATTGCAGATGATCGCCTCCTGGGTCATTCATGGGAAGCATACTTCTTTTGGCTTTAGGCCCTGGTGGGTGGTCCTTTCCACCTTGCTCCCTGKGTCCTCAGGGAGTCTCTGCTTCCCAGGTCCTCAGGGAGTGTGTTCTGTAGTTGTTGGGAGTAGTCTCCGTGTGTGTTGTGGGTCAAGTTTGTTTCTTGTGTGGTCAGAGACTTTAGAGCTGTACTGAGTTTGGCCTGTGAGATCTGTTAGGTACTGAGAGTTTAAAACCTTTGTGAATTTGGATTAATTTGTTGTTTCTTTGAGTGTGTCRTTAAATGCATGTACATTTAAAATTATTATTTGTCTTCTCAATTTGGCAAATTAAACCTTTAATATTTTCTGTTTGCTAAATTTGAATATCACCTTTTGCTGTAAGACTTTGGATGAGCTCAATCTGTGTTTCTTGCTTTTCCATTCAGGTTATCAGTTGATTGGGAGCCATTCCGGGGTGAAACTTTGCAGGTGGACAAAGGTATTGTATTTGTTTTAGTTCAAATATTATTTCTATCATATGCAGCTTTTATATGGATGTTATATGCAATGAGTGTACTATTTATAAGTATAGTTTATAGTTAATAAGACGAACAGACTTTTGGATGAAAGTTTTAAAATAAATTTTGCAAATGTTGGTAGACGTAGGACCCATGYCCACCATCCCAGTGAAGATAGAAGTTATTCTGCTCACTCCAGTGTGGATTTCTTTGTGCCCGTTTCATCACCGGGGGCTGTGCTTTAGCTGCTGTTATGTTTGCCTTGCTCACATTCCTGTGGCTGTGGCACCAGGTCCTGTGTTGTCTCCCATGAGTGGCTTTAAGGCCACTGGCAGTTCCCAAGGGGCATCTATAGTATAGAACCCCTGGTACACTCACTTCTGCTGCTTGGTCGTAGCCACTGTATTTTATCTATTGACAGATATTTGGTCTCTTTCCACAGTTTTTTATCTATTGACAGATATTTGGTCTCTTTCCGGTTTTTGGTATCACAAATAAAATGGTTGTGAACATCCCTTGTTCTTTTGAAACCTTGGTGAAAAGCATGATTTGTTAGGAAAATAATACTACTATGGAGAGGCCGGGTGGAGGGTTGCTTGAGCCTATGAGTTCAGGGCCAGCTGGACAATGCAGTGGGACCCATGTCAAGAAACAGAAGATGTGGTCCTGCCGTTCTGGCTGGGCACTGCCTCTACCTTTCTTCTCTGTGCCTGCGGGTCAAGGTCCCCGGCTCCCTGGCAGTGTTTTGGTGGCCCTCTTGTGCCTAACAGGAGACCCCCTTGTCTTCTTCTCCTCTTGCCTGTCTCCTGGTTGCCCCAGGCTGCAGCTGAGCTTTGCTGGAACCCAAAACCTTTTTTTTTTTTTTTTTTTAAAGAGAGAGTGAGAGAGGAGAGAGAGGGGAGAGAGAGAATTTTTAATATTTATTTTTTAGTTCTCGGCGGACACAACATCTTTGTTGGTATGTGGTGCAGAGGATCGAACCCGGGCTGCACGCATGCCAGGCGAGCGCGCTACTGCTTGAGCCACATCCCCAGCCCGGAACCCAAAACCTTTATGCTCCTCTAACAGAGCACCTTCCTTGGTCCCTGTCATTTCCAGGGCGTCGCATGTCGTCCATGTGCTCTCTTGCGTCCTTTGGGTGCTCTCTGCTCCATAGGCTGTTGCTGTGACTCGTGGACGTCCAAGAAACTCTTCCCATTGTGTTTTTTTTTTTTTTTTTTTTAACTTTCTAATCCTCTACCTTTATCCTAAGGTACACGAATGTTCCAGCAGATGACACCTCTGTCACCTTCTGTTATCCCTTCCACTTTTGTGACAGTATACTAAACCTTGTTAATTAATTACATACTTCTCATATCCCAAATTCGTTTTYTGCATTCCAATGATTTTTAGTAATATCAGATTCAAATGCTCTCTGTTCATAGCCAGTATTTTGTAACATTCTTTTTACTACTGCTAGTTCAAGTTTACAGGTAATACAATATCACATACATAACTTAAAAAAATGGAGTTTTGCTCAAGATAAATGTAGAGGAGGAGGCCATCTTCTGCTTAGTGCCTGGGGCCTCTTGCAGAACATGTGTGTACCACTACACCAGGGGCTCAGTGGAACACCAGCTGCTTGCCTGGGCTCCTAACAGAGAAGTCTGGCCTCGGGAGGTGTGAGGAGACAGGTGCCGTTTTACATGAGAGGGAGAAGGACAGCAGCTTGTGGGTGTGTGTGGGGAGAAGCAGGGACGACCCCAGCCAAGGCACAAGGGTAAGCTGACAGAGCGTATCACAAGAAAATGGGAATGGGTTGTCCTGGCAGACAAGCCAGGTCTCACTTTAAACTGGAACAGACATTTTTCCCGCAGTGCCACTGGGGGGTAGTGATGGGATGTCACAGAAAAGAGGTCTGTCTCCAAACCCCACGTCCTGTTGAGACCTGCATTCAGCCTCAGTTCCTAGCAAGGCTTGGAGATCCCATCCTTCAAGTAGCAAATGGGAAAAAGGGAGTGGTCAAGAGAAATTCTGTGGCCAACCTCTGGTGACAGTCTGTCTCCCTGTAAAATCTTAAAAATGACAGGCAGCTCTAAGACAGCTTGAACACATAGCCATCACAAGGTAGGCTTTTCATCCTTGGGCTGTAAAGTCCTTTACAGTCTACAYAGTGGCAGTGACTATCCTTGGAACAGGTTCATCAGGGAGAACCATGTGCCCACGTGTTCAGCGCAGAATGTCTAGGCCAATCTTCTCGGAGGCCTGCGGTGGCTCCCACCCCTCCTGCTCAGCACCTGGGATCTGTAGGGCTCCTCGCTGTCCGCACTCCACCCTTGGTCTTCGCTCGGTAGTTAGCAGTGTTGCTCGGCAAAACCTTGCTTTTTTCTCATCTCCCCGTCTGTTCCATGAGCAGGTATCTCCTCCCACACACAGAGTCTGACTGCTTTTCTCCACTGATGCTGCTGCACCTTGGTTTGGATCACCTGCATACATCCCCACACCACCTCGCTCTACTCAGTCTCTCTGCTCTACTCCTAGGCTCCTGCGCAGTCTGACTGCTGCACAGCAGCCAGATGGAGGCCATGTCGCGTGATCACTCATTGCCGTAGGGTTCTTGCCAGGCCCTGTGTGCTGTGGTCTCCCCTTGCTCCTGGAGCGTACCAGGGGTGACCCCATCAGAGAGCCCTGCCCTGGCCTCGGCCAGGCAGCAGCCTCCCCACCCACCAGGAGCCACCCCTTTGTCCTTGGTCCCAGCACTTGGCCTTTAGACCTTGCAGCACTTAGAGCTGCTCTCCTCCTCGTTCATTGCCTGTCTCCATCTCGCTCACTTYCTCTTCCCAGCGTAAGGGTTTTGTTTTATGTCGCACACTCAGAGTCCTGGCATGTAACAGTTGCCCAGTGAAGTTCCTTGGGGGACAAATGATAGAAGGAAGCCCTGAACCCAAGGAATGTCCTGTTTATTATGGTTCTATGCACTTTTGAGGTCTTTTCCCTGCTCTTACATCCACACCTCATGTGCTGTAGCTTTTCTTGGGGGGGTTCTTTCTGCTGCTCATGCTGGCCCATTCCTTCATCTTAATTTTCTCCTCCCCATTCCAGTCTCTACCSGACCAAATCCTCATCTGTATCAGTGAGGAAAACAGAAACTCCCTGGGTGTATTTTAGTAAGAACAATGAGGTGAATTAAGTAAATGCTTGCAAAACGCCTGACAGGCCGGGAGGAGTGGAGGTCAGGGCGAACTGCTTCTGACTCCAGGATGCTGCTTCGAGGGATCCAAGCTGTGCCCATCAGCTGCCTGGTGTCTGCCTTGGGGAGTCCTCCAGCCTCTGCCCGAGGGCAAGCATCTGCCGTAGGTGCCCCTTGTTTATTGGTAGAGTCTAAATGAGCAGGCTTTGGGCGATGGAGTCTGCAAGGGTTTGGGGCTTCCCATTCCTGCCTGAGGGAGGTAGAGGCTGGGTTTCAGCAGACAGTAGCCAGTATAGTCTGCTCTGGACCTCAGTACCCATGCCTGCCCTTTAGCCTCACCTGTACAGTAGTCTAGACAGTATGTGGGCCTCTGCCATCTCTGGTGCAGGTGTCCTTGTAAGGGAGAAGGTGTTCAGGCTCCTCTTTGAAGTGTCTTGATAGCCTGTGCTTTAGCTGACTGCCATGGACCCACCTGAAATAAGGCAGGGCAGAGAGGAGGGAGCACTGAGGGCTGGGGAAGGCCTGCCAGGGTGCCACTGTCATCCCCTCATGCCACGCCGTCGCTTGGTCATTACTGGCCCTTGTGGTATCCTTCACTGCTGGTCAGGCGGTGCTCTGTCTGCCAGGGGAGGTGAGCTGCCAGGGGCCCCTGCTCCCATCCCTCTCCATGATGGCTCCTGTTCTGGGAGTACTGAGGTGTTGCAGTGGCTTTGTTTTCTGTTGACTTTGTTTTCCCAGGATCCCTGCAGCCGGCACACCAGCTCTTTGGACTCTTGGTCTGTGGCATTTGGTACTGCACAGAGCCAGGCAATGGTGCTTCTGTCTGGAGAGTCCATGATTTTCCTCACTTGAGAGCTGAGGAGCCGCCTGGCAGAGGACACAGGACCCAGGTCAGAGAGCCCGGCAGGCAGCCAGGCAGCGTCCTCATGCTGCCTCCTCTGGAGGTGACGTGGGCAGTGCTGGGTGCACAGCAGGTGCATGTGGCAGCTGAGGAGCCCCAAGTTGGCCAATAGTGCCAGGGCCCTGGATGGGCTGCCAAGAGATCTGAGGCTGAACCATGCTCCTGGGGCTGCCCCAGGGAGACCTCCGCTTCTCATGGTGCTCATCACCAGCAGTGCGCCTCTGTCTCTCAGGACTCTGCTCAGCAGCTGCTGGCTGGACATGCATTGTCCTCTCTGGAGGGCCCGCCCCATGCCTGTCGCTACAGGAAGAGAATTTGTGGTTAGATTTTAGAAGTGGCAACATTGTTAGCGTAGCTTCTTTGTCCTGTTGTATGACCAGCATCCCAAGGAACCTGGCTTCCTGCCCTTGTACCCAGCAAATGAGAGAGCCGGCGTCCCTTCAGAAAGTTATTATCTGGACATCCGCCTGGGCTCTCTCTTGTTGTTTCCTTAACCTGGCTGGGTTCTTGGGGACTGAGAGGGATGTTTCAAAGACATAGTGCTTTTTGTCAGTCCGCCTTTTCTGCAAGGATGGCACATTGGGCAACCCCCAGTCTTGTAGAAGGGCTGCTTGCAAACCTTCTAGCCTCTGCCTGGAAGGTCCACTTTTCTTTTTTTTTTTTTAAATATTTATTTATTTATTAGTTCTCGGTGGACACAACATCTTTGTTGGTATGTGGTGCTGAGGATCGAACCCGGGTCGCAGGCATGCCAGGCGAGCGCGCTACAGCTTGAGCCACATCCCCAGCCCAAGGTCCACTTTTCTAATCAGGAAATGAGTCTGCCTTCTATGTGGAGGAAGGCATCTCTTCCTTCAAAGGTGTCTGGAAGTAAAGCTGGTGGACTGAGAAGATCTGTCCACATGCCTTGCCCTGGAGTCCAGGGAAGCGCTCTTCTCCTGAGAACCTGTGTAAACCAGAGTCAGCTCCTGAGGCTGGGAGGTGGCAGTGCAGTGGTGATGTGTTACTGGGCTCAGGGAGGATGCCCCACGCCTGTCTCCAGCTCTGTCCAGTAGGATTACTGCCCTGCAGGGGTGGTCAGTACTGTCCTCCACACAGCATGCTCACCATGTGCTCTCTGCCTGACCTGAACTAGCCCTGAGTGATGCAGCCAGTAATGAGGTGCTGCTGTTAGACACTGGAATGTGGCTGCCGTGAGTGAGGAATGGACCTGTTCAGCCAGGAAAGTGTGGCTCCAGGGGTCCTGGTGGAGGAGGATTTAATTTGATGAAACCACGATTTCATTTGATAGTCTCTCCTTATCCTTGCAGCACCCTAGCCTGTGGATGGGACATGCAGTGTGTATCATTGTGCTATTGTGATACGAGAAGAAACACATCCTTGATCTTTGTTTTGTGTTCCTGACACAAGAGCTTCCAGAGTCCTTTGTGCTTCCTGAGTGACGGAGGCRGGAAGGACTCTTTTGTAACGAGTAATGTATATGTGACAGCTTGTGTCAGTGCTCTGGATGCCAGCTGAGTGTCTAGTGATCCAGCTAGATGGCACCTCTGTCTAGAGTTAGCAGTTGGCCCCATGAGTTGAAGGCTTAGCCCTGCAGAACTGCCCACTTCAGATACCCCACCAAGAGGCTCCTCGTACTGGACACCATGGTTGGCTGAAAGGGGTCCTCAGCAGTTTGCTTATGATATGTTTGGATATGGTTTGCATTTGGTTTATCTTATTTGTTTCCCTGAGTTTAATCTTCAAATTTAGGACTCTCACAAAATTTGAGAATTGACTGATCATTGTTTCTTTTGATGATTTTGCTGCATTCCTCTTCCTACTGAGCTCCAGGAACACAGGCAGTAGCTGTTTTGACATTCTTCACATGTCCTAGAGGTGCTGGCCATGCTTATCCAGACCTCTTCTGGTCTTCAGAAGGGCACTGCCTTTCTTCTTATCTTCCTTCTCCTCTAGTAATAGCTGCTTTGAATTTTTGTCTGGTTCTTTCAACGTTTGGGTCATTTCAGGTATGCAGACATTTATGGCTTTCTCCTCGAGTCTCAGTTCCATTGTTCCAATCCTTGTATGTCCAGGACTTCAGTGAGGTTTCAGTGGAAATGTGTAGTAAAACCAAAGAAGATTGCTAAGCTTTTTTGAACTCTTGAAAATACGCGCTTTATTCATTTGTTTTGGAAGAGGTTCTTCCCAGATAACGTATAGGTTGGGGCTGGTGGTCTCCAGCTTCTGTGGAAGTGCCAGGCCAGAGGAGAGGGTATCAGTCCGCCGTCAGATGACAGTGTGAAGGGCTGGTGCGTGGTGCCGGCAGCTGGAAACAGTTGCCTTCTGGGAAGCAGCCCAGCAGTGCCAGAGCGTGCCTGGTGCCTGGTGAAGAGGCCACGGCAGGCTTACGGTTCAGATCCCTCGTCCTCAGAACTTCATTTACCTTTGTTTGTCATTAGAACAACATATTCTTATATAAGAAAAAAATATATAACAATTAATATATAAACAATGTAATAATTATTTTTATAACATAGAAATTTGGGTATATATTTTTGATTTTTTAGTACATTGCAATCAAGCTGTATATGCAATTTTGTATCAGTTGTTTTCATCCAAGATAAGCATTTTCCTATTTGTGTAATTCTTAATGACTATAATTTTTGATGACTGTGCCGTAGTTTAATTCATTAGTCACCTGATGCTGATGACATTTCCAGTTTTCCCTACTATAGATTAACTGTGGAAAATGAGTTTTTGTCACTATATGAAGAATGAAGTTTTATTTGCATTTAGATAATTTCTTTAGAAAGAAGTCCTAGAAATGATATTAACCAATTCAAAGTGTTTATTTGGCCATTTATTATAACTTTCTGTGAACTGTTTCTTTAAACTTTCGTGAAGTCTAGATCTCTCATTAATTTAACGTATTTTTTCTACTTTGGAAACTGCCCTTTGTTATTTATTTTTTCTGTTGCTGGGAATCTGCCCCAAGGCTTTGTACATGCTAGGTAAGGGCTCTACTGCTGAGCTATACCCTTCCAGGCCTGTTTGATATTTTCTTTTCTTTTTTTTTTTTTGGTACCAGGGATTGAATCCAAGAACATTTAACACTGAGTCACATCCCTAACCCTTTTTGTTTTTTATTTTGAGGTCTCAATAGGTTGCTCACAGCCTTGCTAAATTGCTTAGCCTGACTTCAAACCTGCAATCCTCTTGTCCTGAGCCACTGGGATAACAAGGACCATCATATCCAGCCCCTGTTTGATTTTTGGTATACTTAATTTTTAAAAAAAATTTAATTTGTTCACCTTTGTGATTTTTGCCTTTTTTTTTTTAAAACCCATGGATTTGGAAAGCAGTAATTTTTGTCTTCATTTAGATTTTTAAAATGGGTTCTTTAGTCAGTTTGCAATTTATTTTGCTCTGGAGCATAAAATAAATATCTAAATCAGCAGTCCTGAGGTGTTCTTGAAGAGTCGGACATGATTGTTCTGAAGCACTCCCTGGTCTCTTGTGGGTCATGTGATCTCTGTCACCTCTGCCATTGTAGCACAGACCCAGAGCAGCCCCCAGAGCAGGTGAGCAGATGGGGCCTGCTCCAACTCTGCTTCACTTACCCCCGGACGGTCGGCTAGGTGTGGTCTGTGGGCAGTAGTTCATTAGTCTCTGAACTGAGGTCTTCAGCTTCCTCTCAAAAATCAGAGTTGGAAATTTCACCCTATTTGCAAGATAACGAATCATCTGGCACAGTTTCACGGGTGCAGGCAGAAGACTAAGCCTCTGGTCAGACATAGGGCCGTTTCTCACTCTTGAGTTGTAGTCCCCACAAAGTGGCCCCAGGAGGGCCAGGTCACTCTGCCCAGGCCTTCTGGAAGGGAACCTAGACAGAGCAAACAGGAACCTTTGATAACTGCCAACAGTCCTGGCTGACATGTGCCCACTGGGGCTATTTCCTTAAATGGTAACAGGCAGGAGACTCGCCTGCCATTTGCTCCAGAGGGAGATACTACTGTGTCTGTCTCCCAAAGGGGCCATTTGCCAAGCTGAGAGTGTAGAATGAAGGCAATAGGTGTTGCTGTCTGTAGTCCACTTAGAAGAAGACCAGTGGAGAATCCGCTCCCAGCACTCCATGAAGACAGCTTCTCCCCAAGCCCATGCCACAGAGCCTGGCAGGAGTGAAGTCCTTGATTCATTCAGTGTGACTCTGCTGGGCTAGGATCATGGGGATTGAACCTAAGGATGCTTTGCCACTGAGCTACATCCCCAGTTCTTCTTAGTTTTTATTTTGAGACAGGGTCTCAATTAGATTCTTAGAGCTTCATTAAGTTGCTTAGACTTGCCTCAAACTTGGGATCCTTCTGCCTCAGCCTCCTGAGTTCCTGGGATTACAAGCACGTGCTGCTTTTCCTTGAAGATTAGAATTCATGCATCAGTGAATCCAAAGCTATCTATATTTTTTCTCCATTTATAATAAATGCTTTTGATTCTAAGCATGTATATTGTTCATAGGTCTTTTCCTTTTCAATGCAGCCTGCATGTGGAGCTTTGAATGGAGAGGCACCTTCAGTGTAGTGTCTGGGGACTGCTAGTGTGCAAGGTGCTGTAGCACCGGGTTCCCTGCTGTCTCTTGCTGGTGCGCCGGGTGCTGTAGCACCGTGGTCCCTGCTGCCTCCTGCTAATGTGCAAGGTGCTGTAGCACTGTGCCCTCTGCTGCGTCCTGCTCAGTGCTTGGCAGCCCCGGAGCAGAACACAGGATGCAGCCCTACTGAGCTCTGAACAGTGGAAAGAGGAGGGCTCTTTGCGTTGGGCCCTAGGACTGGAGGGACAGTGCAGCAGCAGGGTGTCTTACATCCCCCACCAACAAGAAGGTGGCATCCCCGACCTAGCAATGGAGGCCTCGCAAGGCTCATTTCTTTCCTGGCTGGTGCAGTTCCTCTGAGGTCCATATTATCACAGTCACTGGGCCTCAAATCCTCGGCTGTCTGGGGTGCTTCCTTTGTCCCCTCCTGCCCGGGGAGTGACACCAACGACACTCTGTGCCTTCCCTTCTCCTCCCTGGCCTTGGAGTCTGGCTGCGATGGCCTCTCTTCCACAGCCTTCCTGGGGCTCCACCACTTTTACTTTTGCTGAAATCAAGACTGTCCTGTGCGGAGCTTCTGGGTGCATCTTTCTGCCTATGCCTGGATAGCTTGATCTCTTGATTCCAGGCCTGAGCTGACTTTTCAGGTGGCCCACTCCCTGCACTGAGGGGGTTTGTGTGTTCTTACTGCTCAGTGCTGTAAGCTTTTGTCCCTCCCATTAAACAGTGTTCTTCTTGGGGTCTTCTGTGTCCCACGAGCATGCTGCTCCCCTGTAAACTCTTTAGAACGTGTTCAGATTCTGTCCCTTCAGTCCACAGGAAATGATCTCTGAGTGCATCCCTTTTCCCATCCTCCCTTGTTCCCAGTGGGACCCTCTGGCATCTGAGTGTGGCTCCCATTGCTCAGGAGCTGTCTTGCTGTCCCCAGTGCTGTGTGGCTTTCTCCTTACGTTATCTGGGGCGATTCTGTGGCTTTGTATGTGGGGGTGCCAGTGGCCCTCCTGTGGTGTTACCCATTACTCAGAGGTAATGGGTCAGAGGCGTACTTCAGGGGGTTTAAAGAGCCCAGGCAGGACCCGAATATCACAGTGTACAGACTGTAGAATGTTACATCGTGCAGAGATCAGCAGGGGTACCGTGGTCACAGAACTCGCGGCTTTCCCTTAAAGGGAGGACGATGCCTTGGTGTTCTCTTTCTCTTCTCTTTCTCCATGGTTTTGCTCTAGTGACCTCTGGCTTTTGCTTGTCACAGTCAATGCTCCGGGGGAGAGGAGGCTGCTACAAACACACTTTCTATGGCATCGAGAGCCACCGCTGCATGGAGGCCACCCCGAGTCTGGCGTGTGCAAACAAGTGTGTCTTCTGTTGGCGGTAAGTGGATGTGCAGCTGGGGGCCGCGCCGCCCCGAGCGGCCTTCCTGCCCAGAATCGAGGGCCTGCGTGTGGGCTGCTCTTCTCTTGAGCAGGGTAATGGGAGGTCGTYAGCTGCTTCGTTGTCAGCAGAAGTAGGTTTTAGTGTACAGATCTGCTGCACTACAGCTTTGTTAATACTTCTAATACTCATTAATACTAATGAGCTCATCAATATTCAGTGCTTTATATGTCTTTAATTATAATTCTTTACCTACATTTCATAGATTTCTATTGGTAATATGTTAATTATTATTCAGTTAGAATATTTACTCATTTCCAGGTGAATTCTGTGTAACTCAGTGGGTCAAAATAAGTTATTATTAAATAAGTGTTACCTGTAATTAGGTTTTAGGAGGTTATGTTTTTGTTATTCACTGTACACCCAATTGTTTCATTGTTGCGGAACGTGTTCTCTGTCATACAGAATTACTTGAAATTTATTGAGAAGTACTGTGTGCCTCGTTACGTGGTTGATTTTTAAAACTATAACTGTACATGAAAAGTCTAAAACCTGTGTGTCTGATTAACTACATGGAGTTCTTTTGGTTTTTGGTACGTGCTAGGTCTTTCTTTTTGCTTCCTTTGTATAACTTCAACCTTATATTTCAGGCATGTTGTTCATAAACGAGTGTTTGGATCGATTTTCTTAAACTCAACATTATTGCGGTCTGATTGACAGATGACAAAATGTTCCTATTTACTTAAACCTAGTTTGGCGAGTTTTGGTCAATGTGCGCCTGTGGGACTGCAGCCATGTTCCATGGAACGTGTTCTTCACCCTAAAGCAGCTTCTCTCACCTTGCCTGAGCCCCAGTCAAACTGATTTACTTCCTGACAATACGTATTATTTTTCTTGCATAAAAACGGAATTGTCTGCGTTTATGTGTGTAGTTTTCTTTGCTCAGTAAAATGGTCTGAGCACCATCCAYGTTGAGTGTCCACATTGAGTGTTGATAGCTCGTCCCTTTTGTTGCCAGATAGTCTGCTGCATGGTCATGCTTCAGTTTCTAATCTGCTCATCTCTAGGTGAACATTCTGGTTGATTTCTTGACACATCAGGGAAAGAAAAGCACAGGCCAATACCCCTAATGAACAGGGAGTAGAAGTCCCTTGAAAAAATATTAGGAAAATGTATTAAAAATATGTTAATCTGATGTGCACCATGATCAAGTGGGCTTCATATCAGGGGTGCAAGTTGGTTCAGCTTGCCTATCACTTCATACTGTTTCCTTTTTTTTTTTTTTTAATTGTTGATAGATCTTTATTTTACTTATCTATTTGTATGTGGTGCTGAGAATCAAACCCAGTGCCTCACCTGTGCCAGGCAAGTGTGCTACCACAGAGCCCCAGCCCCAGCCCCTCCTTTTTTTTATATTTAGTTTTTAGTTGTAGTTGGACACAATACCTCTGTTTTATTTTTATTTATTTTTATRTGGTGCTGAGGATTGAACCCAGGGCCTCACATGTGCTAAGTGAGCGCTCTACTGCTGACTCAGCCCCAGTCCTGCTTCCTTATTGAAGAATAATGTGGCCTGATTTAAAACCCTTGGCTTTCTTTCTGAGTTTGCAAAACTGGCAAAAACCCTGGGATAAGTAACAGATGTTTTTGGGAAATGACATTAGTGTAGCCCAAGGATAGTACACTTTATGTCTTATGGAAGAATGGTTCAAAGTAGGTTTTCCTTTAATTAAATATTTATGTTATAGCCAGAAACAGCAGTGGTCTTTGTGTGGCCAGGTCTATGCATCTATGAATAAGAAAATGAATGGCCATGAAATAATTTCTTTCATGTTAGGAGTCTTTTTTCCCCTTGCCTAAAGGAAAATGAAAATTGTTAGAGATAACCAATAATCTGCCTTTAGAAATACAATCTTTGAATAGATCTTCTGAATAGGTTCAATTAGGAAAAGGACTTATGGTTTTACTAAGGCTGGGGATCATGAAGACAAAAATTTTGTTATTGTTATTGCCTTTTCTCACTTTTAGAATGGGGACTAAAACGAGCAATTTCTCACTGAAATTTAGATTACTAAATGCTGTATTAATTTTCCAAATTCTAATTAGACCTTGCAAAGGAGAATTTGTCATAGCAAACTTATTCCAAGACAAATTTGTTTTAAGTTTATCTTCAAACTGAAATTTTAGAAAGATCAGGAGCCAGGGAATGCAAATTATTCATATATAATCTCTTTCACAATTTTTTTTTTGTGTGCTGGGCACCACAGCATACACTGTAATCCCGAAACTCTAAAACAATGAGGCAGGATGACAACAAGTACAAAGGCAGTATGGAGAATTAGTGAGACCCTGTTTCAAAAAAAATAAAAAGGGCTGGGGATGTAGCTCAGTAGTAGGGCAACCCYGGTTCAATCCCCAGACCTTGTGCATGCTAGACAAGCCCTTTAGTGTCCTTACATGTAAGAAAGCTTTTTAAAAGTTCTGAATTCCAAGACGAGTATTTTAATGACCTTTTAAAAAATGGCTTTCTATAGATCATATTAGATGTTCCCTGTGCTTTATGAAATTTCCTTTGCCTTAACTACTATAGTAATACTAYCATATCAATCTGTTTTAACTGGAACCAAATATGTAACATGTGTAACCAAAGGTAAAATCTGCATTCAACTTTAGGGAAAAGGCCATGAAAATACAAATAAATGCTAACATTCAAATAAATAAATAAATAAATAAATAAATAAATAAATAAATAAAACCCTTGGCTTTCAAACCCTCTATTGAGTTTCTGTTTCAGTTATTGCAGTTTGGTCTTCCTGGCTCCGCACCTCTGCTGGCCTCCATTTTGTCTGTGTATCTTTCACCGATGTCCTGCCTTTGTTGAGGCGTTGCTCTCCGGTTTCTCCCGCTCGCCCCATGGGCTCCGCCAGCTCCCTGCGTGTGTTGGAGGTAGTGGGATAAGGCCTGCTCTGGTGGACCTGCCATCGTCCTCAGGGAAAGCCTGGTCTGAGTCTCTGTGAGCCTGCCTGTGTTCCTCGTTTCTCTTCATGCTTTGAAAGCTGCAGAGTTTGGTTAGTATAATGTGTTAATTCTGGAAATAAGATTCTTTTTTTTAATGACAATTTTTTTTAGTTGTAGGATTCTTGCTTTTTATTAAAATATTTTTTCAGTTACACTTGGACACAATATCTTTATTGTATTTATTTATTCTTATGTGGTGCTGAGGATCTAATCCAGCGCTTTGCACATGCTAGTCGAGCGCTCTACTGCTGAGCCACAACCCAGCCCCTAGAAATCGGATTCTTCCTACTCCTCAGGATTAGTTTATTGCTTCCTCTGGATTTTAGTTCTTTCTTGTTTAGTGAGTTGTCTAAACAAAAGAATCTATGCTTGATTCACTTACTCTGGAAAACTCTTGTGTTTAATGAAAAATTAAATAAGCATTTCCTATATAAAAGAGTCTCTTCCTTGTTATGTATTGTCTCTGAAGCCTGTCTGTTAAACTTAGTGGTCAGCTAATATTTTGACAGAGATTTTTCTTAAACTTGTGGGGCTAAAGGGCCTGGGGAAAAACAACCTCTCCATGTCCTCTTGTAGATTGACCCTGTTGGGACACTCTTTTCAAGGTTGGACAGTCCATTTAGAGCTGGGCTTCAGTCTTCACTTCSTGTTTATGCTGAGTCAAAAGGTCAAGCACAGGTGACAGTTTAGGTCTTAGTTCTTTTCTTAGCGTGTATCCCATGATGCGTGAGACCTTTTAAGTTTCTGGGCTTCAGTGAGCACTCTTCAGTGTCCTATCTCTCTCCTTGTTTCCTCTCCAGCCATTGGACTGTCTGTTGCCTTCCTCAGCTATGACCCTCTGACCTGGTCAGGACCCGGTTGTGCATGTACCTGTCACAACCCATGGAGAGGCAGGTAGAAAGAGGGAATTGTATAATGCATTTCCTCACACACTTATCATAGACAATCATGTTCCATTTACCTCCTTTAATCCTGTTTTGATACAAATGTTGACCACCATATTGCTTATCTGTATACTTCAGTTGACAGATGAAGTAAAACGTAAAAATAAGGCCTTTGAAAAAGAATATAGCAGCAAAGCTATCATCTCATATTAAGTTCTTTTGCATGTTTTTCCTTTTCTGTTTGTCTAGGGATATGTTGAAAAGCAAAAGTGTTTTGTTGGGCATCCTGTTAAATCGGTGGTTTCTCCACTGGGGACAGAATTGCTGTATTTCATCACAAAGGGAGACTTGGGACATTTAACAACGCCTGAGACATTTTGATTGTTGAAACTGATGAGGGTGCTCTTCACATCAGTGGGTGGCAGCCAGGAGTGCTGCTAAACACCTGTAACAACAGGACAGCTCCCCATAGCAGGGAATGGCCTGCATGATGCCCGCTGGGCTGCAAYTGAGACCCTTCTGGGCACAGTGGTCCACACCTGGGACAGTGCAGCACTGAAATAAATGGAGATACGACATGTTTCCCTTAGGGGCAGAGTGTGTGCTTATAAATGTGGGGTGGGGACTTTCAAGACAAAAGCCTGCTGGCTCTGGATCACTGGGCTGTAATATTTGGATTGTATTATTCTTAGATGGTGAGAGAAATGATCAAATGCTTTGTGCTCTAGTTCTCACTGTTTTTCATTTTACAGTAAATGTAATTCCTGATCTCTTTAAGATTGTTGACATAGTGTTTTTTTAGGTCAGAATTAAAAAAAAAAGGGCTGGGGTTGTGGCTCAATGGCRGGGCACTTGCCTACCAAGTGTGAGGCACTGGGTTTGATCCTCAGCACCTCAAATAAATAAATACATACATACATAACATACATACATACATACATCAACAACTAAAAAATATTAAAAAAAAGAATTCAAAAAAAGAAAGAGCACAAGGATTATACCTCTTACCTTTGTTGCCTGTTTATAGCTAGTAAATAATGCAGTCCTTTGGTTTCCTGAACAATAAATTTACTCAGATTTTTGAAAAGCACACAATAT